TATCGAATTGTTTTCATTTTATATATACAGAAATTGATTTTCTCTCGTACATTGCATCTTTTTTATTAAGTTCATGGAATATATATATCACGATTTCTCATATCTTACTTAAATCCATTATTAATAATATTAGTTGTTCTTTGATTTTTTTTATTTTCTATTCCTACATTGTTTCTGTACCTCTTAATCAGAAGGAATCAAAAAACGATAAAAAGAACGAATAAAACGATTTTAAATTGTACAATTTTTTATTAAACAAACAGTGTCCTCCGAAAAAAGTGGCTGCTATCATTATTGGTATTTAAAACGGACTGAAATCTTTTGAGATTCACCACAAGCCGTGAAATTGTCGAATTTCGTTGTTAAATTATATTTAACTAAGATATTGAGATTTTTGGAACGTTTGAGTCTTATACAGTTTTTTTGGTTTTTAGACATATCATCAAAATTGGCTGCTGGAAAAAAGTGGCTGCTATCTTGATTGGCTGCTAAAAGTGGCTGCCAGCTTGAGTCTGGTATTTTAATAAGATTGATATTATGGGTCCTCGACTGTACCTGGAGTTCAAATATTTGATCTACCAGAGATTATCTTGCTTTTTTTTTAATGAAAGTTTGCTGTTTCTGATCTAGCAGCTGCAGCCTCGTATCAGCTGTCGAAAGTGCAATTTATAGAAAAGGTGAGACAGTGCAATTCATTGAAAAAATTACACAGTGCAATTTAACTAAAATCAACGTTTCAAACATTTCGGAGGAAGATTTAGATCCATTGAAAAGGGAGCTAGTTGAGAAATTTCCCTGCGGTGGCAAAAATATGATAAAAGAACTTTAGCTATATCACAGTCATTTAAAAAGTATTTTATATTATAAACTATAAACGTTTCTACGCATGAATAATTATACCGGGATGGATGAAAGGAGATATGGGAGGAACTTCAACTCGATGCAATACATTTGCACTTACATTTGCGAGCAGTATTTTTTTATTTCGTTTGCTCACATATTTATTACAGCTTCAACTAGACAGCTAATTGCAACATGAAATGATCTTCGCACAAACATCCAGAGGTCTTTGGGACTTAAATTTCTCTTATACAAACCTCCAGACATAAGGCACCGAACTGTTAAAAGGGCTAACGGTGGCTTTTAATTTTTTGCGTTTATCTTGAAAACTACAATAGTTTTGTTTTTTTAAAAGGGGGTGTAATGAAAACAGTCTGAATATGCTCTATAGGAAAGGTCCCATTTGAGCAATTTGCGCTTTTATGTGTTTTGTTGTTTTGTTGCCTATTGTCTTGATAACTTATTTATAGAGAAACCTTCCTCGCAAAATGGTAGGCAAAAACAGAATTACAAATAAACAATTAAACATTATTGAAATTATAAACTAACTACCGAGGGACTGCTAATTTTCTTTCATTGGGGGACCTTAGAGGAAACTTTGGAATTACTCTTATTTTTTCAAGTGCCCACCTTGAATAAGAAAAATAAATTCAAGACCCCCCCCCCCCTCCCTTTTCAAAGACATTAAAATTTCAACACCCCACACGCACATACATTTCTCAATACATCTGTTAGTTATAACAAAAAAATGAATACAATTTCTTTTTCTATTATAAGTATAAAATATTGCATCAGTAGTGGATCTAGAACTTCAAGTGTGGAAGTTGTTTGCGACTTCAAAAAACTTTATTTGGATATGCCGGTTATGGTCTCATTGATATTTACCACACCTTTATTCAACTTTAGCTTCAGATGAAAAATACTGTCCTGGAAGAACATGTTGAAACTTAGTATTTTTATCTTAAAAATTGAGGCGAGCGGAGCAAGGCGAAAAAAATTTGACATCTATTGAGCCTAAACATTATGTTTTGTTTACAGTAGGGGGAAGTGTATTATAAGTTTTTTTTACTATATGGAAAGGAGTATAATCAGGAAAAGTTCGAGAAAACCTGCAAAAACTAAGAGACTTAACCATTAATCTCTGATATTGTCGTTCTTCGTTAAACAAACAGAAGATGGTCATGTCTTACATGAAACAAATATTGAAATGAAGATTGAAACTCAAAATGATGACATAAGAGATACAGATATGACATCTGAATCAAGTGTAATATATTCCTGCTAAATAATCAGATACTGATTTAGTGTATTCATCATATAAGCTATAATGTTTGCATGTTTGAAATACAGAATTGCTTAAATTCTGTAAACAAATTTCGATGCCCCCCCCCCCCCCCCATTTTGAGTATAAATAGTATGCTCCGCGCAGGCGGGGTGCCGATTGATACGACTGCAGAGGTCGAATCCTGAGCATGTATGGACACACCATTCAACCTTGATACAGCTGTGAATTTAGATTGTGATTAAATATTTGACACATCATAGGTTTCTGACACAGAATGAATGTGGTCCAAGATCTTAACAATTTGAAATTGGACATTTACCTATCATGGTCCAATATCCAAATTCTAAATACACAGTTAAATTCAGCATATTCAAGTACTTAAAGAATTCAATTTTTGATGAAATAAAAAAAAGTTTTATTTTGGACCCTTTGGACCCCGATTTGGACTTGAAAACTGGGCCCAAAATAAAAAAAAAAAATACATATTCAGATTCAGCATATAAAAGAACCCCAAAAATTCATTTTTTTGTTAAAATCAAATTAAGTTTAACTTTGGACTCTTTGGACCTCAATGTGGACTAATTTGAAAACCGAGCCCAAAATCAAAAATCTAAATACACGGTTGGATTCAGCATATCAAAGAACCCATAGAATTCAATTTTTGTTGAAATCAAACAAAGTTTAATGTTTGACCCTTTAGAACTGAATGTAGACCAATTTTGAAACGGGGCACAAAATCCAAAATCTAAATACACACGGTTAGATTTAACATATGCAAGAACCCTAAAAATCAAGACTTTGAATTAAACACCATTAAAATTGGTCAAGAAATAAGCAATTTATACAAAGTATTAGAAAAGTATTGTTTTGGCCCCTTTTTGGTCCCTAATTCCTAAACAGTTAGGGCCATAACCCCCAAAATCAATCCTTCCTTTTTTTGTATGGAACCTTGTGGTACAATTTCATAGAGATCCATATACTTATACACAAGTTATTGTCCCGAAACAAGAAAAAATCTTGTTTTTGGCCTCTTATTCCTAAACAGTTAAGATAATAACCCAAAAAATCAATCCCAAACTTCTTTTTTGGTATGGAACCTTGTAGAACAATTTTGAAAGAGATCCATACACTTATACACAAGTTATTGTCTGGAAACCAAATGTCTTCGGACGACGACGACGACATCGCCATACCATTATACGGCCGCAATTTTTTACGTGCGTATAAAAAATTGGATACCCTTTCCATTTCCCTCCTATCCCGTTTTTTAGGTTACAAATGACCGGTGCCTTACAGGAGTTATTACCCATCCAATGTCTGATTTTGTTCATTTTTGCTTCTGTTTTACTAATATCTTGAGAAAAGTTATATATACAGAGAAACTTGAACAGCTATTTTAAATGATCAGCAATGCAAAATTTACAAAAAATGAACATACTTGAAATTTGTGTATCAACTTCTTATAGAAGAAACTAACTCTAAATAGGAAAGACATTTTCAATGGAAACAAACTATTTTGTTTGCTTCCCTTCTTAAACAAATAATGTCTTTTTCAAGAAATTTGGAATCTAACATTTAAAAAAAAAATACCCCCCCCCCCCCCCAAAAAAAAAATAAATAAAAATTTAGCCTTAGCCCTGTTTACAGTTCGATGCCTTGAGTCTGGAGGTGTATATATGAGCGGCTTCCCACGTAACCTTTTATGTTGCGGGTTACTGTCTAGTTGAAGCTGTAAAATAAATGCGCGAAAACGTTGTAAAAAGCTGCGCGCAAATGTAATGCACCGAGTTGAAGTTCATATCTCCTTTTAGTTTAAACGTATTTTATTTGCTAAATTGGAGCCAAATGGATTAGACATATTTGCACATCATATAAGGATCTTTGCACATCATATAAGTACATTTGCACATCATATAAGTACATTTGCACACCATATAAGTACATTTGCACATCATATAAGTATATTTGCACATCATATAAGTACATTTGCACATCATATAAGTATATTTGCACATCATTTAAGTATATTTGTACATCATATAAGTATATTTGCAGTTTATATAATGTCAACTGGACACCATATAAAGGTGTTTGCACATCATATAATGACAAGTGCACATCATATAATATTAGTTACATGGTGTGTTAGTGACCTAATACGATATATATGGGGTCAGTAAATTCCATATGGGGTGAGAGCGAACCCATATATATCGTATTAGGTCACTAGCACACCGTGTAACGAATTTATCTTACCGACTATCTTCACATGTGGTATTTTGACTAGCGGCCTATCAAAGTGATCAAGTCTTCAATACTTAGTATTAAGATCCTACTTCCATTTGTCTATACAGAAAACAAATGCCAACAATAGCAACTTTTAAGCTTAAAATTTGTTTTATGAATTAATTTCAATCGTTCATTACATGTATTATAATTACTTCTTTCAGATTTCTTTTTTTTTTTGTTTTGAAAGGGAAGTAACCCCGTTATGCCAACAATAACAACTTGTTAGCTTTAATTATGTTTTATGAACTTATTTCAACCTTTCATCATCAATTTCTTCGTCTGTTGAATCCTTTCAGATTTTTCCTCAATACCGTGTTGTTTTTATGAAGGGTTGTGACATCATTTTTGTTTTGAAAGTGAAGTAACTCCTTACTAACCCCATATGGTAACTAACCATGTATGGTTGCTAACCCTATATTTTTTAGGACACCCTATATCAAATATACATAATCACCACGTGTAGTCCTTTAACCAATCATATTTCTATAAATCTATAGGAGGTAAGATAAAGGTAAATGCACATCATATAATGAAAATGGGCATAATAAGACAGTTTTGGCGTTCCATAGTGGTATATTTTATTTCCTGGTAACACGTTAGAGTAATTTTCTGAAAATCCTATTTATCGGTTTGTGACATTTTTGTAGTTTCAGGTTGAAAAAAGAACTTTTTTTCACAGGAATTCAATATAGCAGGTTAGTTAGTATAGTACTATGCTGTTGTTTGTGATTTTTGTTTGTTACGATGTATATTTTATTTTCATAGATAAATAAGGTCAATATAGTTTGTGTTAACTTTGCAGCTGTCCTGTTAAAGGCGTTTTAGCTCGCTTGGCTCAAATTTGAAAGGGTCAAGTGAACTATTCTCATCACTTTGCGTTCGTTGTGACTTTTTTGAACTATTTAAAAATCAAAATCGTCATTGGGGTATCTAGTTTAAAAAAGTTTTGCCTATTATCTTCAAATCGCTACTTATAGAGCAAATCTGGTAAGGCAGATTGTTGAGAATATAAAAATAAGGAGATGTGGTATGATTGCCAATAAGACAACTAGCCACCAAAGTTCAAATGAAGTGGATGTAAGCAATTATAGGCAACCGTACGGCCTTCAACAATGAGAAAAACCCATACCGTATAGTCGGCTATAATAGGCCCCGACATGAAAAATATGAAACTATTCAATTGAGAAAACTAACGGTCTAATTTATAACAAAACAATTTACCAAAAATTAAATATGACAGACAGGAACCAACGACAACCACTGAACTACGGGCTCCTGACTTAGGACAGGCACATAAATAATGTGGCGGGGTTAAACATGTTTGTGAGCGCTCAACCCTCCCCCTAACCTGGGACAGTGGTGTAACAGCACAACATAAGAACAAACTATAAAAATCAGTTGAAAAGGGCTTAACTAATCTGATCGATACAAAGAAAAACATCAAACAAAAACACAGACAGGACTTGGCAGGGTAGGGCATACGATACAGTTACAGGGGAGATAATGACGTTGCTAACGTAAAATGTTATTTTTCGCAACGTCAAACTGTGACATATCGGGAAAAGATGCATTTGTCGACTGATTTTTATCATTCAGACAGATATAACTTGAAAACGAGTTCACGGACCCCTCTTTTTTAAAATGACATTAGGTTTGATTTACGTATAAAGATTATTTGTACCAATTTTTATGAAAAAGTCACCGATGAAATTTTTTTAAATTAGATAAATATACAGCAAAAAAAAAGCCGTTTTTTTCTAAAACCCTAAAACTTTGATAAAAATTAATTATTTCCAAAGAATTGTTATAAAAATTTAGAGCATACTTATGTAAAGAAGATTTTCCAAATGTTTTTACAAAAATCCGCTTGTGTTTATCTTTTGAAACAAAAAAGTTAGGTATGTCTATCCAAAGGATAGAAATGTCCAAAAAAAAACAAAATTTTGAGTAAATGTCTAAAATTTCGACCCCCATTTATCTCTTAAAGTAGCACATGAAGGTATATTTTTTATTACATATTTGAATTGACTAGGTGAAAAATTATAGCTTGTATGCAAATTTTCGTAAAAAAAATCACCGTGGGATCTAAACTGTATCGTATGCCCTTAACATTCAGAGAAAAACATGACCTTGTGCAATGGTATCGACAGATTGTAGTATCATGAAAGTACATATGTGTAATATTTAGTATGGTTTTAATTTACTGATAACAAAATCAATATTTATACCAATAAAAACAATATTCAAAGATTTAATAACAGTGTTGAATAGGTAACCTTTTAGAATAAGTTTATATAAAGGATTGATAAGTTTACCCGGATCGTATCTAAATTTCCAAGCTCGGTTAACAACATTACCGTAAAATTTAGGATGTGCTATTCCGTTTGAAATAAGTTTTCTACAGGTCCAGCCAAACTTGCAAACCAAATCTTTGTATCTATTGAAGAATTTAGGAAAGGTTTTAAGAAATTTGTGGTAACGAAATCCCTGACTTAACAGTTTACTAGTAATACATAGATTACGCTCATTGAAGTCCAAAACGTCACTACAGACACGAGCATAGCAAACGAGTTGGGATATATAAACACCGTAAGATGGTGCAAAAGGAACATCACCCTTCAAAAAAGGAAAATTGACAATAAGAAAAGAAAAATCATCCCTTTTGTCGTAAATTTTTTTGGTAGAGTTTCTGGTGTAATACTGAAATATCTAAATCTAGGAAAGGACAGTTATTGCTGTTTATATTTGATTTATTTAAAGTAAGTTCCTTTGGGTAAATTACAGCAGTATATATAGAGAATTCTTGATTATTCAACGAAAAAATATCATCAAGATAACGGTAAGTGTTGTTGAATTTATCAATTAAATGGAATTTAGACGGTTCTTTACTGAGTTTGGCCATAAACTGTGATTCATAACTGTATAGGAACACGTCTGCTATTAAAGGGGCACAATTGGTGCCCATAGGAATACCTACAACCTGTCGATAAACTTTATTGCCAAAACGTACATAAATGTTGTCAAGGAGAAAATTTAGGGCTTTTATCATCTCATCACACCTCCAGTAAGTATATCTAGCATATTGACCTTTCTTATTTGAGAAAAAGGCTTTATATGAGTTGCAGCAAATAAATTTGCAATTTGATTTATCAAACAACCATTTAATTAGATAGGAAAACTTTTGTTTAATAAGATTGTGCGGAAGTGTAGTATAAAGAGTGGAAAAGTAAAAACTGTCAACCGAATCAAAAGGACCATCAAAAGCACGTAATCTATCTAAAACCTCCAACGAATTTTTTACACTCCAAAAATGGTTAATTCCACTATTTTCATGTGTTTTATTACAAAAATTAATGATAAGTTCTTTGGTAGTAGTTAAGGAACTCGTTAAAAGCACTTAGTTGTAGAACACTTACTATAGAGGCCGAGATGAAACGATATTTTACTTGTTTTTTGTGTAGTTTAGGTAATCATTTTACTTCCATGAGCTGACTATGCGGTATGGGTTTTGCTCATTGTTGATGGCCATACGGTTGCCTATAGTTGTTAATTTCTGTGTAATTTGGTCTCTTGTGGAGAGTTGTCTCATTGGCAATCATACCACATCTTCTTATTTTTATATGGAGCTCCTTTTCGAGATATTTAATTTTTTTTAAATGTCGGAAAAAGGCTGACTCGGACTTTTACCTTATATTTGCATTGGTATTATTTGGGTCTCAAATCGAAAGAAAAGAAATTTAGAATCTGCTTAAATTTTGGTAAATGACCTTTTATGAGCTATTGAAGTCTTATATGAAAAGAAAAAATGGGTGTTATGGGGCAAAATATGTTAGCCTATATCGTAGGAAAAAACCAAGGAGTCCGAACATCTGATAAAAATTCCTAAACCTGACCTAAGTACATCCTTAAGGACTTTAGTGTAGTATGTACTTAAAACCACCACCACATTGTTGTCTGTCGGTACGAACACAAAACGCTTTGCCAGTACTTGAATTTTGTTTTTAATCCTAGCAATGGGCGTATTACTTACTCTTTTATTTTTTTCTAAATTATTATCGAAATTTGATATGCGAATATCAACAATATTCAGACATTCATTTACCTGTGTTTAAAGTAATTGCAAATGGCTGATATTTTTGTTCAAGCATATTGTTTTTCTTAAATTGTTTAACATTTCACAGCGGTATAACATGTTACTTTTATTATTCTTCCCTTAGTTTATTTATTTTGTATTTACATTGTATCATAGATCAAATTTATTTGTTCAGTGTATGTTCACTGGTGTTAATATGTCTTTTGATTGAGTTAAGGCATTTCAATTGATATTTTATAGTGTGTCTTTCTATGTTGTGATGTTACACTATTGTTTCAGATAAGGGTGGAGGTTTTGTACCATTAAAACATTTAAACCCGCTGCAATTGTTTGCACCTGTCTTAAGTCAGGAATCTGATGTTCAGTAGTTGTCGTTTGTTGATGTGGTTCATAAGTGTTTCTCGTTTCTCGTTTTTTATATAGATTAGACCGTTGGTTTTCCCGTTTGAATGGTTTTACACTAGTAATTTTTGGGGCCCTTTATAGCTTGCTGTTCGGTGTGAGCCAAGGCTCCGTGTTGAAGACCGTACTTTGACTTATAATGGTTTACTTTTATAAATGTTGACTTGGATGCAGGCATGGGGCGAATTACATTGCAATGTAATGCATTATATTACAATTACTTTGACAAAACCATGCATTAAATTACAATTACAATTACATGCATTTATCAAAGTAATGCATTAAATTACAATTACTTTTGCAAAGTAATGCATTGAATTACACATTACATTTTGTAAAATTTTTTATCAACTAAAAAGAAAACTCAAACATTTTAAAAAACAACATGAAGTCACAAAATATTCTAGCACATGCAGTAACTGTTCCATGTATTGAATTTAAGTTGACATGTAAAAAGTCTATTCAATACGACTATTACATTTTAACATCATAAGGGTTTCGGAGAGTTTCATCCTTCATGCACATTCCTGAACACTTTCAAATGATAGTTCTGACTACCCGACTGTTTCACATAATCTATCAAAGTTGATTGCTCTTCTATCTTTGGTTTTAATGTTTCAAGGTATACATTTCTGTGTTTTCTATAAAAAGAAATTACAGAGATGAAGTTTAATACTTAATTTGACTTAATGTTAACTACACTTTTTAAATGTCATTTGTTTTTTTTATTTCACTCAAAATATTTACTGAGAATTTCTTTCCTAATTATATAACAAACATAGAGCTTAATTTATGACCAAGTGTCAAAATGGTGAAAACATTGATTGTAAAACAAACTAATTAGTGTTTAATGACAATGTTCCATTATCTGTTATTTAATCATGACATTAGGTATTCATTGATCGTTTGACAACAATGGAACACTTTTACAATAATGCTTTTCAAATGGTGTCTTCAACCTATGCCAACATTTGAAAAATATGTATTCAACCTATGCCTACAAACAAAATACAAAGGGTGTTGTTATAACAATTAATAAATAATTACAGGTAAAATACAGTCAGTATTTTAAAGCATGAAAAATTACTCCTTTAGAATAAAAAAAACAACAGTTAAATACTTGCAAAATTATGATATTTGAAAAAAATAGATAAAAATATTACAATAGAACACTCTTGTATGGTAAAATACTTCCCACAT